TATATATATATATATATATATATGTATATATATATATACAAAGAGAGAGAGAGAGAGGAGGACAGTGGACTATTGTACAGAGGAATCGGAGAGTTGAGTTCGAATTCACTTACTGCATGAATCCTCTTCTTCTTCCCCCAGCTATGGATAAATAGCAGGACAGACTGTGTTCTATAGTCTATAGTCTTGGATATCAACTAGTCTAGGAGAAGCACAACTCGTTTGGGGACATTGTGGCTCACGGTGAACCTGGTTTTTTATTCGGCCTTTCAAAACGTGTGGTTGGTTCGTCACAAAACCTTCACCCCTATAATCAAATCATATGTGAAGGTTTCCTGCGAACTGTGGTACCTGACCTCGTACGTTGTAAAATGGTCCCCGATCAACGACAGGAGAGTCCACGATATATATATATATATATATATATATATATATATATATATATATATATATATAATTGAACATTGAAGTCCAACACTCAGAGGCAACAGACTTTTTTTCATGCTAGACGCAATCGTCAGGCGGCCTGACAATTGTGTCTAACATGAAACAGCCTATCGCCTCTGAGTGTTGATTCAATGTTCACTTTATAATTACATACGTTCTATCTCTGATATTGAGCACTTTATCCCATAAATATCGCATATCTTAAGAGTATATTTCTTCACACACACATACATATATTTCTTCGCATCGCGCTCTCTCTCTCTCTCTCTCTCTCTGTCTTTCTGTCTCTCTCTCTCTCTCTCTCTATATATATATATATATATGTGTGTGTGTGTGTGTATATATACATATATATATATATATATATATATATATATGAAGAAATATACACTTAAGCTCTTAGGGTGTGCTATATTTATGTGCTCACTATCAGAGATAGAACGTCTGTAAATATAAAAGTGAACATTGAAGTCAACACTTAGAGGCGACAGACTGTTTCATGCCAGTTGTATGAAAAAATATGTACCACAAAGTGGGAAAAGTTTTAGTGTGACGCATTTCGTTCTTTAGGACTTCATTTATCTATGTCTTTTACGTTAATCTGATTTTATAAGCGTACGAACGAGAGAGTTGAGTCCAGGTTCTTAAAACTTTTCAGTATTTTTGGCAGATCATTTGTTATTAGGACGTGAGATATTTAAAAACAGAGATTACGGAAACATAAACTTATAGAATCTAAATGAAAATACCCCAAATACATTTTTTTTTTCAATTAATTTAAAATTCCGAACGTCTATCGTCCGTGCGCATGCGTAGTCACATCAACGTAAACACATCTCGTCCATTGAAATCCTAAGGGACGAAACTCGTCATACGAAAACTTTTTTTTCCACTTCATACATCTTTCCTCCCAAATTGTTCCTGATATAAAAACTGTATTATATATCACTATTCAGCTTACTATGGTTTTGTTTTGATTTTTTTTTATTGATATTGTTTTTCAGTTGAACTTTCTTTTACATTTGCATGTCATCCTTGCCATAGATTGATTGTTGATAGATATAAACAAATGAGATAGATATATCTGCATTCATCTTAATAGTGAAGCAGGCATATATTTGTTTCCTTCAACCTCACGAATAAGGAAATTAAAATTATATATATATATATATATATATATATATATATATAACGTTTATACGTAACTTTAATTTTATATATATATATGTGTACGTATATATATATATATATATATATATATATATATATATATATATATATATATATATTTGTGTGTGTGTGTGTGTGTGTGTGTGTGTGTACTTGTGCGTGATCATGTTATCATCAGTAAATATTCTTTCGTTCAACACTAAAATTGCAAAAACAATATCGCTAAAAAGTAAATCCTAAATGCAGCTGTCGGCTCCTCAGCTGACACAAGTTCGCCCAGCAACGGGCCTAGCCTTTTTTTTTTTTTTTTTTTTTTTGTTTAAGTGCTAATACCTCAAGAACCTTAAATCAATCTTTGCTAGCTCCTTAGAAGGTACTTGGTTGAAGAGAGGGATTTATCTCCTCCGCCCGTCCCCCTTTCCTCCCGTCTATTGGATCTTAAAACTTCTTTAAACAAACAGTGTCTCACATGTGTGTACTTCTTCATCACTGTCCACTACCATCCGTGCACGCTGAATCGATCATATACTGCAAATATTGCGTCGGAAAATTCAACAAATGTCCGTGATTGAATTCGTTTGGTGGGCACTAAATCATTTTCAACGGCCATTATGCGACCTAAGTCGTAACCCTTGGACTAACACTGTTCTCTCTGGATGTTGTCGAAGCGACATAGCCAATGGAACCAATGTCACTCTGGCAGGAAATAAACAGGAACATAAAATAAAATCACAAAAAATCTAACGTTCCAAGAAAGTTAAAAATTCTAGCGTTTGCATTCCCAATTATCAAGGTGAATCTCGAAGAGATTTTCATGGGAAATATTTGCTTTGCTATTAGATATCGAAAGATGAAGAACCGTAATCGTTCTCTTTTATTGAGAATGGAAAACCTGCAAGTGGAATCTAAAAACAAAGCATAGAAAATTACTTCGCAAAGAAAAATTATATGAAACATCATGCTACAAGAATTGAAACCTGTGAGCAAAGACCTTTTCCTATACCCCGTCGAGAAGAAAGACACTTGCTAAAGCAGTCACCTACTAAGTCAGTATTTCTCAACCTTTTAATCCTTGAGTAACCCTTAAAATAAATTACATGTCTCAAGGAACCTCTGCGCAAAAACAAAATTATATACCATATCTTTCTCCTTTTATTTTCATCGTAGTTCACGTGGTAAATCTCATAGTATATCTTTGAATAACTGGTTTAAAGAAAAATTAATACGTCTTTTTCCAATTTTGGGGTAATGCTAAATAAAATTCATACTGTTTGTTTATACTACTTCATCAGGGAGTTTTTATTCACACAAAAATGTCTAAACTCAGATGTAAAAAAATAAACATAAGTAACCAATATCATATACCTGTTGCAATATCAAAGGTATGCAGGTGTAGGCTTTAAAAAAGCTTTATTCAACTGAGAATACAAGGTTTGCGTATAATGTTCTTTTATAGTCGCAGTAAACAGAATAGCTCTCTGGGAGAGGAGAGTAAGAAAACAAGGGGCGACAACTCTTGGTTATTCATAACACCTATAATATAAATGTAAAAAGAACGAAAACAGAAAATTGTGTATCAGTTTTTATTTTTTGATCCTTTACTGGCAATGTTGAAAAGATATAAGGTAAATCAGGGCAAAATATCCTCTTAGCCAATAAATTGGAATGGTTCCTCTTCAAAACTCGCCACATTGGGTGACTGGTATTTCTGTAAAAATAAAGAAAGAAAAAAAAAACAAAGAAATAAGTAAATTTAAATAAAGGTCCCGTTCACTGAGTAGGCACAGACGAGTGAAGGTGGTTTCACACTGGCGCCATACAGACATCATTAAATATATTCCCAATGATTGTTATATTTTTAATAACATAACAGGTTAGATAGGATGATGTTGTAGAGGACCGTGTGCGTTTGTCGTATTAGAAAGACGTGTGTAATTCCTGGTAGAATATTAAAAGGTCCAACTACAAGAAAATGGCCGGACTTGAATTATGTCCAACTGAAGATGAAAGGAAAACAAACAAGACCGATATATATACATACATATATATTTATTAAAGACATATTTTTATGTTTAACGTTGTTATTTTATAGATACAAGTATTTAAGCAAATGCTCTGTTTATGATAAACAGTATTAAATAACATTTACCGGCCTGAATGTCCGAGAAATTTTCATAGAAAATTTTCGTTCTTTGACAGGATTCGAACCTGCATCCTATACGGAACCGTCATATACGCTGACGTGCCTTTACCGCTTGAGCTACAAAAGAACCAATCGGTAGACAAGGTCGAATTTACTGCTTATAAACTCCAACTTTCCATGAATCTCGTACATTCATAACTGCTCTGGCGTATCGAATGTAAACAAATGACGTCATATATTAAGAAATGGACAAGGTCCGACAATTTATTTATTAAAGACATATTTTTATGTTTAACGTTGTTATTTTATAGATATGTTCCGTATAGGATGCAGGTTCGAATCCTGTCAAAGAACGAAAATTTTCTATGAAAATTTCTCGGACATTCAGGCCGGAAAATGTTATTTAATACTGTTTATCATAAACAGAGCATTTGCTTAAATACTTGTATCTATAAAATAACAACGTTAAACATAAAAATATGTCTTTAATAAATAAATTGTCGGACCTTGTCCATTTCTTAATATATATATATATATATATATATATATATATAAAAACAAATATATGCATTAAACAAAACAATTTTACAATGGACATAGACAATAATATTTGTGTGTGTGTAAACATTGCGATCTGTTCTTTGGTGAATGTGCGTACGTACGTGTATGTGTGTATAATGTTCATGGCGTCTCCCACAAATGGGAAGACGTGGATCTTCCAAGAGAGCTTATATTGTAGTCGCTGAAATGAAAAAGAGAACGAGGCGAGAAGTCTCCCAGTATTTATAGTATCGGGAGAATGACCCCTAGTGACAATTTGGGAATTAAGGAGGAGCTAACCCCGACAATGTCTATATTACAATAACCAAGAATATATTGTGCGTGTTTAGTAATATTACGTATGTAAAATTAAATAAATAGTCAAAAGTGCATTAGATTATCTCACCTGTTCTCGCGCAACCCTTGGGGGCATTTTGAGGAACCTTAGGGTTCCGGGGAATCCCTGTTGACAAACGCTGTACTAAGTGAATGCTTGGAGATTTGGATATCTGTGATATCACTCGGTACTATAAACTATGACACATACCTACTAATCGCTTCAATTATAAACATAACCTATGTCTACCAATCGAAAGTACAAACGTGACCTACGTCCTCATATATCTACCTATCGATTCAAGTACCTATCGACTTAAGTACCTATCAACTCGAGTAATAAAACAAGCTGTATCCGTTTATGTCCATATAATGTGGTAACACTGGTTCTCCTGTGATCACCGAAGTTAAGCAACGTCGAGGCTTGTCAGTACCTAGATGGCTGACCGCTTGTGAATAACAGGTGCTGTAAGCTTAGATGTATGGATGGTGTAATGGATAACAGCTCGGAACTGGATATATTCACTTACGCGCAGTTACGCTTGGGAAATGTATAATCCCCCCCTCTTCCACCCCCCAGATATGGGTTAATTAGTGCGACTTTTAGTACAGGGGGCTGACACTATATTTCAGACACTTTATTTTTTCAGATTTTAGGTAGCACAGGCAGTCTGTACTGTTTTAGTGTAATGGCAATAACATTTAAAAACTGTTTCAATACTACAAATGGAAAAGCAGAATTCAAATTAGAAGTATATTTAATTTTTTACAAATTTTCACATTACACAGGAGACCGTATTTTTCGGACATTGCAGAAACAATGCTAATAGTTTATGGCAGCACCCTTTTTTCAATGACTTCTATCAGTCTATCTTCATAATGTTCGTACATGTTGATAATAACGTCTCTTCGTGTTTCTAGCAGTCTATTTTTAGTATCTTGTATGCGCTTCCATAGTTCAGCCTCTCTGGTTATTTCTGGCCCATCGTAAACAAGCTCTGCAAGCATTTCCCAGATGTTTTCAATTAAATTTAAGTCTGGACTTCTTGCAGGCCATTCCAGAGTAGTTACATTTGCTTCACACATCCAATTTTTCACTGATTTGGCCACATGGACGCTGCAGATATCTTGCTGCAAAATAAAATTACTTCCCATTTCTTTTTCTATGTGTGGTAGGGCTCTCTTTTCCAAAAGTTCTCTGTAGCTCAAGCTATTTTGACGAGCCACAAGTTTCCATTTGGAAATACCATACCCCAAACCATGACTCCTCCTCCTCCTCCCATCTGTCTTTGTTAAGAATAACAGGTTCACCTTTTCTCGACCATGTACACCACCCGTCAGGTCCATCGAACTTAAAACGTTTTTCATCAGTAAATATCACTTTCTTGAAGTCGACATGGTTTGTTATCCATCTTTTGCTGCTTCCCAGCCTTGCCTCCTTGTGTTTTCTTGTTAGTGTAATTTTTTTCTTGATTTTACCATACTTAAGTCCAATTCCGTGTAGCTTTCTTTGTACAGTTCGAACACTGACGTCAAGTTCACACTTCTCCTTTACTTTCTTCGCTGTCACCTTTTCTCCAGATAACAACCTCGTAACACTCCTCTTCATTCTTCTTTCTGTTCTCTTGGAAATTGTTTTTTTTTCCGTCCTCTCTTCTTCTTCTTCCGCTCATATTCTGTACTTAGCATGTATTCAACTGTTGATTTCGGTAGCTTCATCTCAGCGGCGATCTTTCGGATGCTGAGCCCATATTCTCTCTTCTTTTGGACCAAACTGATGACTTCTTTTGAATGCATTCTTCTTCAGGATTTTAATACGTTTTCGCAGCGAATGGAAAATATACTCAAATGTAATGGTCAGGGTACAGTTTACCTGCAGAAAATTTGCATATTGTAGACGTTCGACGACTAAATCATTAAAAAACCCGGAATTTGTGTCATGTCCGAAAAATAGTGTCGCCTAAGTTGAAGTAAAAATAAAGAAAACATGAAACCAAAGACAAACCCATCAATCAATGTTCATACCATTAATGGACAGTTACGGCTGAACTACACAAAAGCACTCAGCAGCAAAAAAAAAAAAAAACCACCTTTAAACACACTTTTCAAAGTGTCCCAAAAATAGTGCCGGCCCCCTGTAGTTAATCATTATTTGTCAAAAAAAAATTTACAATTTAAAATTTTTTTCTCGATTTAAAATGATTGAAAATTTGTAATGGGTTGATAAGCTGTAAAATAACACTAATAAATGAATCGACGAACTGTATCTACTTATCAACAAAATTATAAATATGACATTGTTTTACCTATTGATGCAAATATAAACAACATCTATATCTACGTATAGATTGAAATGAACGACGATTTGATTTTTTTTCTATTCAATGAAGTGCAAGAAAAAAACTGATTTCGAAATTAAACAACTCTAAGTGTAGTCTAATCAACAAACAGCTTCCGTAAATATGGCCCTGCTTCATTAACATTAAAAGAGCTTCGTTTACAAAACCTCCTGACTCTTGCATATTGACCTTCTTTCTTGTTATATAGGAATAACGATTCTCTGCCATCACTTGAGTTTGAACATAGATCGCCAGTGAGCAAACACAGGCAATCACCATTATTGAATTTAGTGGATCACGTGATACGCATAAATAGGAAGTCGCGTGACGTCTAGATTGATCGCGATTCCTAGTCTATCCTCCAAACTATACGGATCTGCATTTCTAGTCTGTCCTCTATTACTATAAGGATCGTTATTTTTATACTATCCTCTATTACTATACGGATCGCTATTCCTATTCTATCCTCTATTACTTTACGGACCGCTATTTCTACTCTATCCTCTATTACTATACGGATCGTTATTTTTATACTATCCTCTATTACTATACGGATCGCTATTTCTATTCTATCCTCTATTACTATACGGATCACTATTTCTATTCTATCCTCTATTACTATACGGATCGCTATTTCTATTCTATTCTCTATTACTATACGGATCGCTATTTCTATTCTATCCCCTATTACTATACGGATCACTATTTCTATTCTATCCTCTATTAATATACGGATCACTATTTCTATTCTATCCCCTATTACTATACGGATCGCTATTTCTATTCTATCCCCTATTACTATACGGATCGCTATTTCTATTCTATTCTCTATTACTATAAGGATCGCGATTTCTATTCTATTCTCTATTACTATACGGATCACTATTTCTATTCTATTCTCTATTACTATACGGATCGCTATTTCTATTCTATTCTCTATTACTATAAGGATCACTATTTCTATTCTATTCTCTATTACTATACGGATCACTATTTCTATTCTATTCTCTATTACTATACGGATCACTATTTCTATTCTATTCTCTATTACTATAAGGATCACTATTTCTATTCTATTCTCTATTACTATACGGATCGCTATTTCTATTCTATTCTCTAATACTATAAGGATCACTATTTCTATTCTATTCTCTATTACTATACGGATCACTATTTCTATTCTATTCTCTATTACTATACGGATCACTATTTCTATCCTATTCTCTATTACTATAAGGATCACTATTTCTATTCTATTCTCTATTACTATAAGGATCACTATTTCTATTCTATTCTCTATTACTATAAGGATCACTATTTCTATTCTATTCTCTATTACTATAAGGATCACTATTTCTATTCTATCCTCTATTACTATACGGATCACTATTTCTATTCTATCCCCTATTACTATACGGATCACTATTTCTATTCTATTCTCTATTACTATAAGGATCACTATTTCTATTCTATTCTCTATTACTATAAGGATCACTATTTCTATTCTATTCTCTATTACTATAAGGATCACTATTTCTATTCTATCCTCTATTACTATACGGATCACTATTTCTATTCTATTCTCTATTACTATACGGATCGCTATTTCTATTCTATTCTCTATTACTATAAGGATCGCTATTTCTATTCTCTCCCCTATTACTATACGGATCACTATTTCTATTCTATCCTCTATTACTAAACGACCGCTATTTCTATTCTATCCCCTATTACTATACGGATCGCTATTTCTATTCTATTCTCTATTACTAAACGAACCGCTATTTCTATTCTATCCTCTATTACTAAACGGACCGCTATTTCTATTCTATCCTCTATTACTTTACGGACTGCTATTTCTATTCTATCCTCTATTACTAAACGAACCGCTATTTCTATTCTATCCTCTGTTACTAAATGGACCGCTATTTCTATTCTATCCTCTATTACTATACGGACCGCTATTTCTATTCTATCCTCTATTACTATAAGGATCGCTATTTCTATTCTATCCTCTATTACTAAACGGACCGCTATTTCTATTCTATCCTCTATTAATATACGGACCGCTATTTCGATTGTATCCTGTATTACTATACGGACCGCTATTTCTATTCTATTCCCTATTACTATACGGATCACTATTTCTATTCTATCCTCTATTACTATACGGACCGCTATTCTCTACTCTATTTACTATACTATTTCTCTATTCAGATCACTATTTGGTGGTTACTATTCCAGCGAGTATTATCGAGCAAATACTATTAATGCAAGTGATATTTGAAGGCGTCTGACACCAGTATTGTTCAACGGCATTACAATAGTTGTATCTGCGATTACAAAGTGTCTGCTACAACGATCATTATGAAAGTGACAACGACTATTCGTTGACATCACAAAAGTGTCAAACGAGTTTTCATTGACATAACAATATTTCTAGAGGTTATTTTTTTTATATATGACAACGTTAAATGAACGGCGTTGGGATGAATTCCTTATAAAACGATGTTATGGATTCGTCATAATATTGTCTCAAGTTAATGGTCTCTTCTGTTCATTAAATAAAAGAAAAAGCCCTTTGTTATTTTGATAGTAATGGAGTACTTCTCGATCCTATTTACTTCTACTCCACTTTTTGTTCATAAGTACATCATCCCTGAACATTTCATCAATCTGAACAAAGAATATTTTAGGTGCATTTAAATTTCTTCCACGATTAATGATTCTATTGAATACGGCGAAAGAGTGACAAATTATATTACGGACGAAACATGGGAAAGGCGAGTGCGTCGCGTTGGATTCTGTTAGAGAAGTAAACAAAAATGTATTCGCCAACAGATACTATGGGATCCGAATTATAAGAAAATATCAACAAGGAAACCAGCCACAACATTTATTATTTTTCAACTCAGAGATAATACAAAAATCAGAAAAAAGAACGGAGGCAGGAATATTTGGAAAGAAGTAGTCGTAAGTTTTGTTGCAAGCCGATCGGATAGATAGATAGATAGATAGATAGATAGATAGATAAAGAGGACGAGTTAGATAAATAGAATTATATGTGGCACCATTTACCAAGGCAGAAAAAGAAAAGAAGGAAAAGAAAGGAAAGGAGAGGCGAAGACCCAAAG